TCTCGGATGAGAGGTGAAACGTCTTCAAGTAACTTAAAGAAGTCCAGACGCTTTTCTTTGCAAGCTCCTTTGACCTCAATCCATATGTATCCACAGTTCTCCACAGCTTGCACCACATGTTCATTTTGCTGCAAATAAGCGTCAACATTAAGCAGACAGGACCTGCAAATGCATATGATTAATTTTAGATCATTTATCTAATCTCAGGAGAGGGACCACACCTTCATGCACACCCTTCTCTGAGGCCTTCCTTAAACTACAGCCTCAGTTCATGCTCAAGCTATCTGCTGCTCTCTACTAGAAACGCTGCCAAACCTAAATGACGATGTGGTCCCAGCTAGGGAATGATTTGTTACAACAGTCACAACAGTCTGAGGGAGTCTCCTTGTATGCTAAAGACTCACTGTGCATGTGTCAGTGCAGCTCTTGTTTCACTCTCTATAACAGAAATATTTTCCAGCACACAGACTCTGGGTCTCATCACACTCTGAATATTTCAGGGCTCAATTTGTTTCCAGGTGGGAAGATGCAGGCTACCTCTGCAGGCCTGCTCTCTCATCATTCCAGTGCAAATTCCTGAACACTGTGCTGAGATCATCCTGAAAGCTTTTTTTTTTTTTTTTTAAATCAACATATGAAGTTATATCAAATGTCTTAAATTATTTATGTAATGTAGTGCTGAACTTACAGTACAGATATTATTGAATCTATTTGTGCTTTTGTCTTACCTGGTTCAGCTGCTCCTGATCAATACCAAAGTTAGTTTGTGTTTCCTTTTACAAGCGAGACCTTCAAGTGGATTTACTGTAATGATTAAAGCCTTTAAATAAACTGATTCCTTCATGTTAGCTTCAGAAGCCTTCAGTGTGAGTATTTAACAGGATTTAGTTTCACACAGTTCATTTCAAAGTGTTCTTATGTAAACTGTTGTTTTTCTTTGTCATATTTGAGTGAAGATTAAAAAAATATTTCATCCAGTCAATAAAAACATTCCACATCCTTAAACTCCAGTGACTTTATTATTGATTAGATCATTTACAGCGTGTACACATAAAACTAAATGTGTTACTTACGTGAATATTAATCTCCTCCCATCAGACCCGTCCAGCCATAAATGCACACGATCCAGTATGAAAAGACAAGATTAGCCAAAGTGCCTGCTGTGTGCTAGATAAAGTCTGTAAACAGGCCCGAGAGGATGTTCGGGAATCTATTTGAAGTATGCCGAAAGATTACTTTGATACAAAAACATGTCGACTACCCCAGCTGTGAAGCAGTAGCTGGTGGTATCTGCTGGTGTTGGAAGTACCAGCAGCTGGAGACAAAACACTTTAAAATAGCTACATAAGATTGAAATCGCAGAATATAATCACAGCAATAAATGAAAACCCTCACAATGCATCACAATAAATGCATTTAACAACAACTTAAAACCAATCAGTTAAGTTTATACTCATTCAGTGACAGAAAAACAAAAACCACAATCCCACCACTCAGTAAAGTTCACAAACCATCTCTGTGATGTGTGGACCGAGAACTTTTCCACAGGAACAACAACCCTGGTAATAGGAGCTAGACCTATTGTCCCGGTACCCATTACCATCCCAGTAGTATCCTTTCCCACATGAACACTTCCACTGCTGCTGCTGAGTCGTGCTGTGGATATTTTGCTTTCCCAGTTGGACAAATGGGGCCAGGTCTCGGTTACTGACGCTTGCTTTGAGCTTCATTGTGATTATTTCTTCTCTCTGGTGCTGTCCGGTTCTCCTGAAGAAGGACAGCGTGGAGGAGGTAAAGTTCCACAACACCTCCACCTTTTCAGGTCGTGGTAAAGGCTCTTCTCCGTTTTCCCCCTGATATGTGATTGATGCAGAGGTTGTCACGAGTTGGGTCCCAGTTTTGACTGTACCAGTATTTAAACCTTGTGAAGTGGATGATTGAGAACCTTTATTTCTCTTTGTTATGATGCTGCTGAGCTGCTTATCTTCCCAGCACAGTCCATACACAGCTCCATCCTTCAAGTTCTTTGCACACTTTATATCACATAAACCAATCGTCCAATCAGACTCTTCGGACAGACTGACCACCCACCTCTGAAAGCTGCTGGCTGTCTTGGTACTACAGATTAGAAGAGTTGCACAGCACTGTCCCAGCCAGCTATTGTGGAAAACCTTCCTGTTGTCTTTGGACAGCGACATGCCAGGACCCAGAGTCTGTGGCTCAAAGATCAGATCTGAACCAGTGGGAACAAGCTCCTGGTGGTGTTCAGGATCAACCAGAGTCAGCAATGA